AGCTTTTATAGTGGAATAAGTACGGATTGTTCCAGATTAGTATTACCTATGTGAGATGGATGTGAGGTCGCATCTTTGGGAGCTGATATGGCTAAGCTCTCTAAAAGTCTCATGAAGAAAGGATCGTTCATGACCGAAATGAACACAACGGTAAGAAATGATCTATGCTTAGATATGATATGTGTGATACTTCTTGTATTATTCTACTATAAAAAGTGGTTAGTTCAAGAATCTAGTTCACTACCCACAAAGTAGATCCAAGTAGTACTCACTATGAAAGGTTCAAGTTTTACAACACCTATTCAGATGCATGTCATATCTTACTTCCCTTATTTGAATATCAAAGTTCACTTATTTTCTATTCAAATGTGGGGTATTCTTGGAGTTTGAATAGAAAATGTGGGGTATTGTTGGAACTTTGCTTAACAATGTGGGACTTATCCCACATTGGTGGAAGAGAAAACCTTCTCCCACCTTATATGTCTTGTCCCACTCATTTAATTAAATGGGTCAAGTAATGGGTTAAGCATATTGGGCTTGGGTTGTGGTGTTGGATCAGCCTAATTGGACTCAAAATAGGCTAATATCAAAAGAATATTTAATGGTCAAAAGATGGGCCTTGGGCCTTGGGGCTCTTGGGGTCTTCCTGATTACTTAAATAATTTTTAATTACGAAATTAATTTTTATTCTTTATTTTCATTAAATTCGTAATCACTGAATGACAGATATTTGGAAGTTATTTTCGGTTTTGACAGTTTTTAACTGTCATAATCAATACCTATAAATACATGATTTCTGTTATTTGTGAGGGGTCACAGAAACAATCACCACAAATTCTCTTCAAAATTCGTTCTTCCTGAAGATGAAGGGGACATAGAAATTTCGACAGATTCAAGAGTACTTCTTGGATTGATTGTTGTATCCTCTAGACAGATCCCTACCAGGGAAATTTCTGTCTTAGGACACTGCAATTTGCAGGCCTCAATCTACATACTTTCGTTTTGTGTTTCTGTTGTAAACATAAATCTTCAAGTATGTTTTCTGTAAACTGATTCTTGTATATTACATATATATATTTCAATTTCGTTTGTTTTATTTCTATTACTCTTGTTGATTGTATACTTCTCTTATAACATAATATCTCATTCATCTTTTCTTTTCTGTAACTAAAACAATATATTAAAAACAGAAGTTAGTTAGACACTAGCGAAAACCAAAAAACAAATTAATGCATAATTGGATTTTACGTCAATGCATTTCAATTTTGTCTAGCCTTAGCGTTTCTAAAAACAACGCAATTAAAAGAAAATGCAACAATGTTATCAAAGATGTAATGTTTATGATACTTGGCTGACAAAAAAGCAACACATTCTAGTATGTCCAAAGAATCCAAAAAAAGTTATTAGCATCTTTGGGGTCCTCTCTTCAAACTGGGCACAAAAGAGAGTCAAGATCGATACCTCTTATATCAAGATTCACATATGTAGGAATACAATCTAGCATAAAACTATCCAAATAAAGACATAATCTTTATTGGAATCGATTTATTCCACCGAGTAACATCATTACATACAGGATGATGATTATTATCAATATGGAATCTGAAAGATTGTACAATCCTCTAGAATGTTTTTGCTTCCACCCCACCCCTTTTCGATGTCGATTGCAACTTTATCAAATCCAATATAGAAAGAAAAATTTAGAGCTATAATGACTCGGCTCTTCCTCTAATCTAATCTACCACATGGAGAAAAACTAAAACCCTTTGACCTCCAAAGTTCTCTCACCAGCCACCATTGGCTGTTCGGAAGCATACACAATCTAGAGAAACAAAACCACATGGTATTGTCATACCAAGTATCTATGATCTATCCAAAACCTCGTATCAACCTCATACCCCAAAATTTTATGCATCACTAACACATGAATAACACCACTATCATGTAACTGATTAATAAAGCCAACTATCATGGATGATGGACCAAGCACGACTACCAGACGAGAGGAACGCAAGCCAAACACAATTGTATAATCATTTATCCATTTTGAGAGCATATAAACCTCAGAATTTGTGTTATAATTGAAGGCCCTCATTTTTGGAAAATGGGTTTACCCACTTTTGGAATTTTTGACATTAGCGAAACAAGAACAATTTCTCAAAATTCTAAATTGTTCCGCAAAGTTGAAATCTATTGTAGTATGTGAGATAGGGTTTTTTTTTTTTTTTTTTTTTTTTAATGTTTTAATCGACTATTTTGTATCTTCTCGTTCACTTACTTTAGGCTTTTTATTGTGTAGATATTGTGTAGGATGGTAACTAACTACCATGTTCAAAATATTTTATTATAACATTAAATAGAAAGTTTTATAGTTTTTGATGTTGATTTGACATATTCTGTTCATGTGGCTGTCATTGTTGATAACTACTTATTATTTTATTGATATTTAATTTATAAAATACATTTATCAAATTATCCTTTTGTAGTGTACTTTTATCATATTTTATAAATTTTGGATTTTGGTTATATGGTGTCAAACTAAACATGACACCTATATTTTTAATTTTAATCAGGGTTAATACCGTGTCATATTGACCATCAAGGCTATGGTAATCGTTGGAAAAATAATAAAGGGTAGATTGGTTGTGTCTACGGTTCGTACTAAGTTATTTAAGAGATGTTACTTTGGGCTATGGTTGAAATCCCCAAGCCTTGCGGAGAGTGGAGACCGGCATCTGGTTGATGTCATGCTATTACGATTTGGAAGGCCTCCATCAATAGATGATGAGAGGAACATGTTCTTGATATGGTTGTTCCCATAGCTTCTCCTACCTCGTGTTTTATAATTAGTGAATAAATATTTTATGAAACTTCAACAAGTTCAACAAATAGTATATACAACTCCTTTCTCTTCAATTGACTGGTATAACTGACAATCCTTCACGATACATGAGGTTAGAAAAAAACTAACAATTCGGATTCTTCAAAATATGACTAAAAAGAAGGCTTGCATACCGATTCTTCAAAATTTTAATCTTAAGATTTCTCATTGGAAAGTTGATGATTCATCTATTGGGTGTTTCCTTACACTTCTCAAATCGGTATGGGGAAGTATCAGGTTTATTTTTCCTCATTTTTCTATGCTCCTTTGGCGATTTTAAGACTTAAAAAAGTGATCATAATACATTCTCTTGGGAAATATGAGTGAACGCATAATCACTTGGATTAAATAGGTTCATGTCATGGCAGATAGGATAAATGAGGTCCGGGATAGGAAGTTTATTCTCTAAATAAATCATGCTCTTTTATCTAAACTAGGAAAAGGTTCGTGCGTTGCACGGATCATTCTTTTTAGAAAAAGTAGGAAAATGTTCGTGTGTTGCACAGGTCATTCTTTTTAGAAAAAGACGGTGAAAGTTGTGTGACGAAATTGAGAAACAATAAATAATGGGGACTAAAATTATCAAAACCTGAAAATTATGTGGCCAAACTTTAAAACCAAAAACATTCCTGTATAAAGAGTTCTTTTTAGAGAAAGGCGGTAAAAGTTGTGTGACGAAATTGAGAAACAATAAACAATGATGACTAAAATTATCAAAACTTGAAAATTGTGTGGCCAAACTCAAAAACCAAAAACATTACTGTTGAAAGAGTCCATGTGCTTTAATATATATATATATATATATATATATATATATATATATATATATATATATATATATATATATATATATATATATATATATAATGAAGATGGTCATCTTCATTTTTTCCTTATAAATAAAGTAAAAAATTGGATAAAATGATAGATAGTGTTTCATCTCCAATTATACTTTATTTTTTACCAAAAACATATATATTTATGGTATATTCTATTTTGCAATTTATATATATTTTCAAATACACTCCTTCTAATAATTAACTTTTAACATATATATAATTTTTTTTTCATTAAAAAAATATTAAATAAATAATATTATATTTATAAAACACTTATAAGTAAATATTACACATGTATTTATATAAATATTGCACATACAAACTTTTAAATAAATATTATACATGTATTTATAGAAATATTATACATACACACTTTCAGATAAGCTTTTGTAAGTGTGTTTTAAAATTTCAATATATATTTAAATTTTTATATGAATTTGATACATAAAAAACAAGCTTTATATTTATAAGTAATTAATAAAATTCTCTTTCAAAAAAAAAAGTAATTAATAAAATTTAATATATAACAAAATATTATAAATATTAAATATTACATTTAAATTATAATTAGTAGATAAAAATAAACTAGAAATATATAAAACAAAAAAAAAGAGACTAAAATCGGCAATGAAACTTCAAACTCTATTTTGGAAGAAATGAATAGTGTTCTTCCGTATTGGTGGAAAACTATTCATCCGTCCCAAAATGGAGATAGAAATGAGATAAGGTTAGAGGAGAATTGAGAAGTAAATGGAGTTTAGGGATGAGTTGGAGATGCTATTATGGTTCTTAGGAACAAAGTATGCATGTAATTTTGGAAGGATTTGTGGAATTATGTGAAGTTATTCTTCAAATCTGTGCTCTTGAGAATAATAAAGGGTATATGGTTTTACATCGGTTCTATTTGGGCACATTGATATTAGGATTGGATTAGGTTAATATACTTAGGAAGAGTTAGTAAGGCAAAAGACACTCATCCAAATGCTTCATGGATTCCAAACCAATGATAACAATGACATATGGGTTTAGTGTTTATCTAATACAAGAGATTTCATGGTTGCTTCTTTACGTTGATATCACACATCTTCAATCGAGTTCGACTTTAGAGAGATTGAAGATTTTGACTAATTTCATAGATCTATGATCACCAATCAACAGTTAGATGTTACTATAGTTTACTTTCCGATATTATTGAGATTTCAGAACAACCTTCTATTGGAGACTAAATATGAGACTAAATAACAACATACAAAAAATTCGTTGTTAAACAATAACATAAACCCTTATGTAAATCCAACTTAATTTCATATATTTCAATTGTGTCAAGTCTTTTGAAATGTCAACTTTCTAATAATAATTAGCTTAATAAAATTCACCAACCGAAAATTATTAGATACATTTTGTGAAATATGTGTCTCCCACACGTCCCCCAGCCATTGCTGTCCTGACATTTGATTTAAACACTTTCGGGTTGTCCCTTAAAACACCAGCAGCCTCATGATTTAAAGGATCTTCATGGTTTGGCTCCTGTATACACTTAACTTAATTAATTATAACATATCTATTTAAAAATATAGATAAATATTTTTAAGGTTTTCATTTGCAGATACTGGCAGTACTATGTACTGCCAGTATTGTATGCAAGTAATGCCAGTACTGTAAACTATACAGTACTGGCAGTACTGCATGCCAGTAATCATACCGTGAAGAGATGATACAATCCGTAAACAATTGTGTTTATGTTGAGGACGGGTTTCCAATCTTCTCGTAGGATGTTGAGGCATACATTTCCTTCCAAGTCAATATTAGGATGATACACCTGATATTTTATATATATTTCTCAATGTGTAACTTTAACAAAAAAATAAATATTCAAATAATAAATAAGAAGAATACATTTTTTGTACCTTTGTTTTACACTTGACTTTTGGCGCCTCGTGTGGATAAGTAGCACCAACATTGAAAGTGAACAAAAATTTCCCACCCCTAACACATAAACAAACACATATAAGTTATAAAGCAAGATATATGTATATGGAAAGTTTATAAAAGAAAAGGATTTAAAGGAAAACGTACATGTAATACCCTTCATCGGGTTTAATGGTGATCTCAAAAGTCATTAAGTCATCCTTGCCATTTGGAAATGAAATGGTGCATGATTTTGGTAGGTTTAGTTCACTTATGTCTAGAAAATGTAACATGTTAAATGTAAGCATATATATTAGTATTTATAGAATTACAAGATATAAAGTCTTTATGTTGCTTAAAATTATATAGATAAAAGGTTTTACACTTTTACCCTTATGAACACGCAATTCCCCTGCACTTTGCTTCTTAAAGGATCCATTTCCGTTTGCATTTTTAGCCTCTTCTTTTTGCTTTTCCTTGACTTTAAACAACCTAATCATGGTTCCTGTAGAAAGCATAAGAACCATAGTTAAATTTGTAGAAAAATCTTCTTATTTTAACATAGTAAGAAACCAAGTCAAGACTGAACAGGATCATGCATTTGCATGATGTTAAACTTAAACACACGAACTTTATTTACAGTAGGTTCTTTGATGTCCATGGGAGATTCCACCATAGATTAGGGCAATTCTTATAAGTGGAATTAGATATGAAATTCAACATAATTACGTAGCAACTTAACCAGAACTCACTGGAAAAAGAATGGTGAATCATGAATACAGCAAACAAATTGATTCCACAAAGAGATGTAATTCTTTTTCATTCATTCAGATAGATGTCTTTGTGAAGTTGACTATGCAAATAAAGAAGGAAGTTGAAAAGAAGTAAAACTAAAACAAATCCCTATGTACACTAATGGAAGGATAAGATAGGTAATTGTCAAGGGATCATATTGATGCCTAACATCCAATTGAACCTATAAAGCCTGAAAACTTTTGGCGTGTTACCAAATTTTGGCCTGTTTCAACATGCAATCATATGATATCGGCTTAATCCATCGTTGATGCTACAGAAAATAGTGAAGCAAAACAATAACTTCGATCTGATGGTAGCACACCCTTTCTCTACATCGATAGCTTGCTGCGATAGGAAGATGATCATTATCAATCCTTCACAAGCCTAATATTACGCCAACCGCAGTTACCGATCGGAATGCCCTAACTTACTCTCGAATGCAAGGACCACAACCACTTGATGATTTTTAATCATGTAGTTTACCATAAAACAATGTACACTACAAAATCGATTTCTAATCATGAAAGAAGAACGATCATAGAAACAATAAACGCGATGTTCTATTTTCAATCGAAACCCTAGCGGATAAAAAAAAATAGAAAGAGAAGATACTTATGATCGTTAGGAACTTCTGCGTGAGGTATGGATGGATGAACGAGATTCAGCCGTCGCCGGACGTTTAATCGACGGAGCAAGGAACCGGTGGGTGACCCTCGAAGGTGGCTGCCCGTTACACGAACGATAGAGAAAATTAGAAATCGCACACAAAATAGATGGGAATGGGAGTAAATTTTTATAAGGTTTATTTTACAGGAAAGGAAAGTTGCTTACTTTATTCAAATTTTACAGACTTAGATATATTATATTTATTAGAAAATAATTATTTGAAATTCAAAGCTTATCTCAATATATGGTAAATATATGGTAAAGATGATAATATCAAGTCATTCAACATACTAAACAGATAATTTTCTATTAAGTAGTAATTCTAAATAGAGATTTTGCCATTACCAGACATTTTTTGGAGAGAATTTCAAAATTTAGTTACAAAAATCAAATTTCCAGTTATAGACATGTATTTCGTAGAAGGGACCTTCACGGGCTCTGTGGAATACTGGTGTCCTTCGTGGAATGACATTTTTGTAAATAACGTAGGGTTATTTTTGTAAAATTAACAAGTCCGCAGAGAACTTAACGATGTCTGCAGAACACCTCTGTAGAATCCTCGTAAGCTAGTCAATTCTGAATCCGATTTTGGCCAATTCCGCTGCTTCCTCGTGGACCTTCGCTGACCTTTGTTGCTTTTTCGCTGACCTCCGCTGCTTCCTCCCTCATCGATACCTCTGGTGGATTTGTGTTTGTGAATCGTCGAGACCTCCGGACGAAGGTAGATGGATCCGGTGAACGAAGGAAGCGTTTTTGCCAATGGATACGACGATCAGGTATGGATTTTCGACATTTTGTATTATGTTTTTGCAGTTTATTTAGTTTTAAGCTAAATTTTTTAATGAGATGCGATATTTCATCGATTAGTAGAGAAATTTGTGAAAGGTATCGTTATTAAAAAAACAAAAAAAATCCTTGATTTCTGTTTTTGGGGAAGAACGGTTTCGCAGAGCATATAGTGCAGTCCGCAGAGGTGCTTCGCGGAATGACCTGTTCCTCTGCGGAATTCTCAATTTTTCTTTTTTTCTTTTTGTTGTCTGCCCCATTGTAGCAATGTAGTTTCAGTTTACTACCTTTTATACACAAATCGTTGAAAGTACATTGTTATTTTTTTCCCTTTTTCGAAATTTTTTTCTCACTAAGATATAAAAAATCATTGGAACTATGTTGCTATTTGTTTTATCTCTACCCTATTATAGCAATGTAGTTTCATTTTATCGTCTTTTATACACAAATCATTGAAAGTACGTTGTTATTTTTTTCCCTTTTCGATTTTTTTGTAACGTCTCAAAAACATGTGAAAATTTTCATTTTTAATTTAGTCGAAAACCAGCAAGTATTTATAACAAACCCAAACAAAATATGCCAAAAGAGAGTAATCATCAGAATACAAATCCAAATCATAAAGAAAATGTGGAACATGGGTGGATGTGTTGCGATCATGTCAGACCCTTCCCTTTTGTATCAGAAGTATCTAAAACCACAAACATAATCGTAAGCACAAAGCTTAGTAAGCTTTCCCAAAATCACAAAAAGGCTTCCCAAAAGTCACAATTGTTTGCTAGGGTTTCAAAGGAACGATATGAGGTGATGAAGGCTAGTTATGGGAGGGATTCCAAGAAGTTAGAGCCCTTAAACAGGGATCAAAACCTTAGGGTTAGGATTTTGGTTAGTAGCAGCTACGCCCTACGTAGGATACCCTACACCATGCAAAGGTCATTAACCTCGCGATCTGATTTCAACATCTACACCATGCGTAACTTTCCTACGCCCAGTGTAGGGCAAAATCCCCAACTCCTGATTCAACTTCAAACAACCATAACTTATTCGTTTCAATTCCGTTTTCGACGTTCTTTATATGTGCGAAAAGGTATTGAAGAGACTCACAATTCTATCGAGTTAATTTTGTCTTAACACACGTCGAACTAAAACCATAATCCATGAAAAAATCCCAAAATATAACTTTCCCATTTTACCCTTTGGTTCCAGCACACAAAACAAGGGCCTAGATCTCATAACCAATATTATCAACCTTCAATAAGGTCTAAACTTTACTTCCTCAAAGCCCAAAGTCTTCACTTGATCGAATTACAACCCACAAACCTTGAATTAAGAAACGTCCAAGAACAGGGTGTTACACCAAACATCTCCATATAGTACCTAATGTAGTAGGTCGAATTCCATTGTCAGGCTTTAAGATCAGTGTAAGAGGATTAGATGCAACAAATTATGCCAGACTCGAAGGACATCTTCCCCTAGACATAGATTAACCACATGTGTAATAACACGCATGAGGTCTTTACCTATAGCTAAACATTCTCCACAAAGAGCATCCAAAATGTGTTGAGCTCTCAACACATCTCTCCCATCCGAGGTTCCTTTAGGGAATGATTTAATGCCTCTAAGGACATTGTCAATATCAACTACAAGGGGATGTGTTATATTAACTATATCACAAGTTATTTGTTAATTATATCAAAATAAAGTCCATTTAACTTGTCAAGCCAAACGGTTAAAAAAAGCTTTAGACAATCAAATCTCTAGTGAAGCTGCCCACTCAACATCACACCTACTCGCTCCTGGGGCGGTGTTAACTAGCAGACATGTCCACCACATCAACATTTCACGCGTGGGAATCCTCCCATACCCTAAAGCCTAAAAAAATTGTTATCAGTTCGTACAAAGTATACTTGATATCAATATATTTGCTTACCAACATGTTTAGTTGGCACAAATCAATAATGATATATATCAACTTCTTTTAATTTTTTATTGTAAGATTTAAAAATAAGCAAAGACAACGGATAATTTGGACATAGTAAATAAATTAATTACGTAGTTATTTTAATTTACAACATAATTTTATTGAAGTAACGCTAATTTATATGAAAAAATTTATTTTATTGTGAATATAGGTTAAACTTTTCAGGTTGATGATATAGCACGATCTGAAACGAAAAAATTATATAAAAAAAGTTCCCATGATGTAAATGTTACATTATTGTCTACGTAGGTAGAAACATGACATTTTTGGTAAAGCTAAATAGAAGTTGGTAGTTGATAGTTGTAACTTGAAAGTTTTAGCTTTTATTTGTATTTTATTTGTATAGAAGTATTTAGAAAAAAATAACTGTTAGATTTTAAATATATAAAGTTAAATAAAAACCAAAAACTAAAATTTCATAAAAACCACTTAAAATGGTTTTTGTATTATTAACTTTTTTTGGTTTTTTTAAAACCTAAAAACTATTTTTTTATTTTTTATACGTAGCTAAATACCACTTTTACTATTTATTTCATGTCGCTATTAACAAAACAAATGAAACAAATGGCTCATAATTTCATTGTTATTTTCAAGGATTGAAATTAAAATTTAAGATATGTTCACAACCATCAATAATCAATAACATTGATTTTTTTTTATCTGGCTATAAAGTATAAACGGATAATACCGTATCCACAACATAACACGTCAACACGAGGCCCTGTATTAGTCGTCTTAAGATTAGGGGTGAAATTGGTACGGTACCGATCTTTTTTCCTCCAAACCGTATACCGTACCAATTATAGTTAACATGGTAATTTAGTTACCGGTACCGTACCAAGTATATTTGGTACCAACTAATTTGGCTGCCAACATATTTGGTTGGTACAAATTGGTATTGGTATATACCAAATTTTTTAATTAATACAACTTGAAATTGCCAATTACAGAAGAATTGCGAGAATCGGAAATTAAGGGCAAAAACTCATCTTAAACGCGAATTTGAGATGAAGTTGTGGACTTACGTTCATCCCTTCTTTTGGTATTACTTTCGCTTTTAGTGTAATATAATTCGTTTGGTATTACTCATCAAGTGCTCAAAAAATAATAAGTATAAAAAGAATTGCCAATCACTCAATTATGTTAGTAATTCCAAGACTAATAGTTGTTACTCTAATTAAAACATGAAAATACTAAGAATTGATATATATATATATATATATATATATATATATATATATATATTATATATATATATATATATATATATATATTGGTTGGTATTGTACAACCGTGGTATTCAAAATTTTATACCGTTACCATATCAAGATTACTTAATTGGTATGGTATTACCAGTCAAATATATTGGTTACCAAAAAAGTTGGCTACCAATTTTATTTGTTCGGTTGGTAACTTGTTGGTTAGTTGTCTATGGTACCTATTTGTCTTAAGATAATAGCGGGTGCGGGAGTCAAAATCAGACAGTGAGTGTGCAACTCCAGCCCCACAAGAATCAAAACTAATGGCAGAGATTGAATGAAAAGGTTACGTGGTAGCAGCTCAATGGATAAACAAGCGATAAGGTTCCATCCTATCTTACTGTTCCTATTCGATTTATGTACCCGTCATTAACGTTTAAATGCTTGTAATCGCAACGACAACTCCATTAATGGAAGCTCACTCGTAACTCCCTGTCTTTATCACTAAATTCAAAAAGCTCCATTCTTCCTTGTCAACCGGGTATGCAGCAGCTCTACTCATATACGTAATACGTTTACATTATAGCAATCTTGTGTCAGATATATTGGTTGTTTATTTGGTGCCCACAAAGTGTTTGTAAATATGCGTGAATAAGCTTCTTTCTTTTTATCTCCTAACTTACAAATACGTTAATTATCGCAAGTTTCGTAATTTAGATACATGAAATCAGTATCTTCAAATATCAATAATTGTTTCATCTACTTTTTTTTTTCAGAACCACATGGCGATGGCTCCAATATGCTTCAAAATGTGTTACAAACACCGAACTGTAAACAATGATCAAGAGGTTATCGGAGGCATCTCTTCAGTTTCAAACCACAAACTCAAGAACACGAATCTTTGCTATAATTCTGTTGCCACTTTCAAGAAAACAAACAAAACCATGCTCAAATGTTCAAACTTTTCAAGATATATCTCCCCGAATGCATCAGAAAGGGAGAAACCTTTAGTATCTAGTTCTAGAGAGAAGCAATTAAGATCACTGGATTCTTACTTTAAGAAATTCAAGAACGATATGAATCACAAAGATTCACACAATATAAGTCCTCGATCTGAACCCACAATATATCCTGTCAAGAACAGACAAGAAACCCAAACAAAAGTCGATTCAAAAAGTGATTCTGATGAAACTTCGGGTCTCTACATGATGTAAAGCATGAAACATCTTTTTCCCATTTACTATTACTTTTCAATTTCATTAATTTCTCTGATAATTCTTGTTCTTGTTATTGCAGATGCACGATGGTGTCCATAAACATTGCAGTTTATCTGTTTGAAATTGCAAGTCCAATAAAGAACTCGGATCTTGAACTCTTTTCACTTCCAGCACTTTATGGAGCAAAGATCAATCACTTGATCTTATATGGAGAATGGTGGAGGCTGTTGACACCAATGTTTCTGGTACAAGATTGACTAATTATTGGGTTCGTGCCATTTATTTATTTTATTTTTTTTTATAAAAAAAATCTCTAACGATTCATACAAGTGACATAAAAATTATGTAAATGTAATCAAGAATAGTAACAACAAGAACTAAAATGTATCTATCACAGCACACGGGGATTCTTCATATTGGGCTTGGTTGTTGGGCTTTGCTCACATTTGGTCCAAAAGTTTGCAGGGCGTATGGCCCGTTTACCTTTTTCTTGATATACATACTTGGAGGGCTATCTGGTAATTTGACAAGCTTTCTTCATACCCCTGATCCTACTGTTGGTGGAACTGTAAGTAAACAAGAAACATGTTTATGACTTATGAGATTCTGGTTGTATAAAATATAAATTGAGTAATTAATTATTAAATTTGAATTTCTAAGGGACCAGTTTTTGCAATCATTGGAGCTTGGCTTATATACCAATATCAAAACAAAGATGCAATTGAGAAGAATGTTTTGGAAAGCATGTATCAGAAGGCAATCTTTGCTACTGCACTTGGCTTTGTTTTATCAATTTATGGCCCAATTGATGATTGGTTAGTCAACTTTTTATAATTTATGTTTGTTTAATTCGATCAAAACAACAAAAAATGGTATTTTGTTTCTTTATTTCTAAATTGATTGGGTATATGTTTTCAGGACACATTTTGGATCAGTGTTCACTGGCATAGCTTATGGTTTCATGACATGCCCCACATTACTACAAATAGATGATTCATCATCATCATCATCATCATCATCATCATCATTGGATACTGGTAAAGACAACGGAATGACACTGATCTCACGAAATGTGGATCCATGTAAATCACTTGTAATGTTTTCTATTTTTGTATTGGTTTTGAGTTGTTTGGTTTTCGTGTTTGAACCTCCATTGGGTTCACTAGATGTAGACACCCTTGTGTAGTCTCAACACCCAAAGGGTAAAAGGGTATATGTGTATGATATATGTATTACAATAAAGATTACTAAAATTAGGTTTGTTACATCATTTTTATTGGTACTATTTAATATCATTTGCACAAGTGTTAGATGAAATGCCATGATCAAATGTTTTCTTGAACAAATATGAATACGTTATAACCTTGTGATTATAAAGAATAGGCTGATTTCTTATAAATGAATTTGGTTTTTATATGCGTGTAGTAAGAGAAAAATATGGAGGTTAGTGTGTTAAACCGTGCTTCTGCAATTCTTCACCAAGTACTTATACTTTTACATTTTTAATCTCTTATGAGCAAAATATATTTCATTGTTATGCTTTGAATCCTTTGTCATGTTGTGGTAAGACAAGTTTGTGAAGGTAGCTCAGGACTTTGGTTTAATTTGTTATGTTGTTTATGTGTTCATAGGATCTTCCTTTTAAATATATCTTTGTAGGATCCAATGAAATGGGTGAATTTAAGTGCCGATTTTTTTTATTTTTTATTTTAACTGCAAATCTATTTTAATTCTAAACTACCGCTGGACTAGACAGTGCCGATTACAATAGAAAACATATATTAACTTACTATTAAAAACCGTTGGTTTGTTTGGTATGGTTTGTACCTCTTAACTTTATTATTTTTTTCTTTTTTTCTTTTTATTTGACAAGTTTAGTCCCTGTAATTTTATTTTTCTTTTTTGTCGTTACTTTGCAATTTCAATCATGTCAAAGGTTTCTATGGCAATTTCTGTAAACCTTTATTTACTTATTTAATTTTGTTCTTATCAATTTCAATCATTTTGCAATTTCAATCATTTCAAAGGTTTCTACGGCAATTTCTATAAACCTTTATTTACTTATTTATTTTTGTTCTTAGCAATTTCAATCATTTTGCAATTTCAATCATTTCAAAGGTTTCTATGGCAATTTCTGTAAAAAAATAAAATTTCTTCTCTTTTTGTCTTTACTAGGCAATTTCAATCATGTCATTTTTTTATTTGCCCTACTTTACTTACTTGGCAATTTCAATCCCTTTTAATTTTCTTCTTCTATTTTCTAAACTTTCTTTATATCATCATACTATATAGAGTAAATTACACGAATGGTCCCTATGGTTTAGGGTAATTTGCGCGTTTGGTCCATAACTTATTTTTTTAACTCGGAAGGTCCCTACTGTTTTGTTTTTGTTACTCGCTTGGTCCCTGTCTTATCTAAAAATACTATTTTTCCCTTGATTTTTTTAATTTATTTAAATAAACACACCCTCAACCCCTCACCTTATCTTACATACCCCACCATTTTTCTCTATTTAAATAATAGTTTTTTTAGGTAAGACAGGGACCAAGCGTGTAACAAAAATAAATAGTAGGGACCAAACGCGTAACAAAAACAAACAATAGGGACCTTCCGAGTTAAAAAAATAAGTTAGAGACCAAACGCGCAAATTATCTCAAACCATAGGGACCATTCGTGTAATTTACTCTACTATATATAATCTAATTTTCCTTCCTTCGTTAACTTATATAAAAAAAGTATTTTTTATATATTTATTTTTATGTATGTGTCGGTATAAATTCAATGTATCAACCTTTTTGATGTAAATATAGAGCTTTTGTTACTTGTTTTTTTTATATACGTGTCGGTATAATTTCGAGTTTGTCTATGTTTCAACTTTTTTTTTTCTTTTTTTATATTTACGTGCTTATTTTTATCGAAGCTTCGTCGATTCCTACGTATGACGGTATGAGTCGTTCACATATAATATGTTTTTTTAGAACGACAAAGATATTATAAAAACTAGCAATAAGCTAGACAAAAGTAACAATTACATGGAATCAATAGACAATAGTGGATCATGCAACCAGTCAACCCAATTAACACTACTTTTACGACATCTACTATTAGCCCAACAAAAACTTTGAGAAACCACCTTATCAAACAACAAAGATTTTTTAGTCTTAACTTTACCAAAAAGAAAAGAATTTGTAAAGCACCAAATCGACCACCAAAGAATGTAAAAACAACCTCCATAAACTCTTGACACAACGAAGACAAGCGCATCGAGCCAAGCCAAACAATCCGATCTTGAACCGAAAACAAGGATGGCATATGAACATTCCACCATATACATAAAAGATTCAATAAATTGATAGCCAAGTCACAGAATAGATGAGTGACCGTCTCAACTTCCTGATCGCAAATGGGACAAAAAATAGAAGTAATCTCCATCCCTCTGTAAGAAAAATTATAGCGGGTAGGTAATTTGTTCAAACAGAGGCGCCAAACGAAAACATTAACGTTTATAGGAGTAAGGCGACACTATCTAGTAGTTGAATCAGAAACAATAAGAAGATGTTTATGAATTTCTACTCTAGCAGAAGACACAGAAAAAGAATCGGAACCATCAAGGGACCAACTCCACTTATCCGCAGACGAAGAGAGCACAACCGAGGAGATCAAATCTGAGAAGACTGACCACTACTCATCCTCTATACCCCCTCTCGGAATTCTTCTAAAAGAAGACACCCAACCCGGTTGACGCATCTTCAAAGCAAAAAAATTTGATTATCCAACCGTGGTTCCACGTATTCTAAACTAGTGTGATATAACTTATAAAAAAATGGTTTATTAGCGGTTTTCTGTCACTATAAGTTGTTTTTATCCAAACACTCTTTAGCTTATGGCGGTATGAAACTGCGATTAAGTTTTATTTATTTATTAATTTATTTTTTAAACGACAAATATAACATACCCGTAAACTATTCATTAATTTCAGTTATGTCTATGACAGGACTGTCAACCTGAAAAAAAAAAAAAAAACAATATCGGATGGGTTAGAAGTCATTTAATCATCAACAAGCTAATAAGCTTATTTGCCAAATACCCTCAAAATTTTCCGTTACTTTTAGTTTAATTTATTATGTTTTTAACGCGCAAGTCTAGTATATATTTGTCTCGCCCAACTTTCATTTTTTCATTTTGGCCTAACTTTTCCTTTTTTATTGTCGATTTTTTTTTTTTTTATATTTTACGAATTTAGCATAAATTTTTATTTAAGTTTGTTTTTACATGATTTTTAAGACTTATTTTTTTATATTTTACAACTTCTTGTAAACTTGTTTTTAGAACTATATTTTACGAACTAGCTCTTAAAAATTTAGTTTTTATTTTTTACAAAATTACTTTTCCTCGTCCTTATATATATATACTAGGCGTATTCCCACGCGTTGCGCAGTAAAACAAATATATGGTTAAAATATGTTGAAATTTATAATTTTTTCTATAGGTTTTGGTCATTTTTTATATATAGGCCTATTAAAATTGGAACCTATGACCTTAGAATATTGGAACCGATCCTGGAATATGTTATGTCGTTTTTAATATTTCAAAACCACTCCTAAAATTTTCGATATTTGGGGTTCTAATTTTTTATTACGGAATAAATTGATTGACTATTACAACATATGAAAAAACAATTAACCATAAAAATTATTGATAACGTAAGACAACGAATTAAAGGAAAAGTTAAAATTATAAATAAAAGATGTTTATAATTGATGTCAAAATATTCTGTAATAGATTTTAACCAGACTAATAATAATTATAAAATCCAAAATGAGTTTTAGCCCTCATATATTATTATAAAACATAATTTATAAAAAAATTAAACGATTTGTATTTTGTGAGAGTCTCGTGTCATTGTGCTTTCCATTAGCATAACATAAAATTAGAGGTGCAAATTGCAATAGCTAAATCTTATTTCACTTTTAATTACCTTACAGTTAAATCATAAACGTCTCGTTTAAAAAGATCATGAATGATTAAACGATTTATAATCAAATAATAGACTGTAATGATATATCAACAACTCAAATTTACCATTTTTATGGAATATAACAAAATCAATTTTAATAAGCTTTATCAACTACATAATTGTCATCTATATGACCATTTCCATGTAAGCGATTGCGAACATCCAACACACACATGAAGACCTATAAAATTAAACGACGACATGCACTCCATTACATCATCCTAGAAATTACACCCAATGAATCTTTTTAAAAGTCTAGTTATACAATTTGAAGTGGAATGAATATTAACCTGCACCATCTTGCAAACTCCATTATCCATTCTTGTTTTGTATTGTTGTGAAGCAGTCTTGTTACCCATGTGAATCTAGCGGCAATGATTAGAGCATCTTCATATATAATATTTTTCATTCCAACCAAAATCATAATTATACAGTATAAATTTGGATAATAAGAAAGAAGAAAATGAAGCAATATTTCTTACCATAAACATTCATATTTCATTCTCATCGCCATCTTCCTCTTTCTTATTACTTATTCTCTCCATCGACAATCTTTTTGTATGGAGTTTCTATGTAACACCCATAAAATTCGAGCCAATTTAAATCTTTTTAATTCATTTGAAACCATTCAATTATTACAATTTGTCTTTAAAATAGTTTATACATCAGAGTTCCCAGAAATCATAATCGTCAATCGAGGAAGTGTACGGTCACGCCTTCGCCTACCCGCGGCCATCCGCTGAACCTGAAACAATAAACTGAAACTGTAAGCCCGAAAGCTTAGTGAGTTACCCCCAAAATACCAACCTCATATAACCATAATCATATCATATCAACAAATACAGAACAACCATGCATCTCGAGTCTACAGTGTGACTGGCCCACCCGCACCGGGCCTTCAGTCCACCTAGTCCACTCTCTGAGTCTACAGTATGACTGGACCGCCCGCACCGGGCCTTCAGTCTATCTGGTCCACTCGTCGGGACTTCGGCCTGACTAGGAACCCTCCTGGGCCTGCAGTCTATCTGGTCCGCCCTGGGTATGTTGGCCTACAGCACGAAGCAGGTCCCGCCTCAACCCGACCCCCAAACAAACAACTATGTGCATATATAACAGATAATCACATAACAGTCCATAGATAAACAAACCGATCTAGCAGATCATATAGTATAGCAACATCCTAACTAGGATACCGACCTAACCGGTCACTAACATAACATCATCCTATATACCAGGATAC